AGAGAGAGAGAGAGAGAGAGAGAGAGAGAGAGAGAGAGAGAGAGAGAGAGAGAGAGAGAGAGAGACCAATGGTTCAGGAGAGAGTCTTCTGAGACCTACTGACACAAATGCTCTAGAGGACGAGAGGGAGTTTTAGTGTTTCACCATTAGTAAACTCACACACCTATCCCAGTGACCAAGTTGTCTTCAATCAGTGCTGCCATATCCACTCGATGAAATTATTGGTGTACCGAGGTCATTTCTAAACTACGTTGGACGTCGGTGCAGCTTTCAGCCCAATGATCACATGTATCAGGCAATGAACGGATTTCAAATTTAATACCCGGTCTTGCATATCTGATGAGCTCTAACCTGTTGGGCACTTGCTGCTCGAATGCTGGCCGAAGCTCCGCAGGGAGGTCCAGGGTGCTGTATTCGAATTCGCCTTCACGAAACTGGCCTTGATAAGCCAGATTGTGCACACACATGGCAACCTGTCATCATTAAGAAGGACCCAACGGAGGAATGAGATTCAGAGAGTCCACTTCTGTTTTTTTGGTTCTCGACAACGCTCACTTCTTTGCTTGCCTATTTAATTCATTCATTTTCAATGTCCATTCAGACATAATATCTTCACCTATCATTTTCACATAATCTCGTTTGATAAAGAATGCTGATAAGTCCCTCATAAACAATGGAAATCTCGATTTTCACAGTTCCCCGTTTCAGTAATTCAAAAAAATTGAGTCGTCAAAACTTAGTTAGGGACGGTTACTGCTCAGTTGTAGTGGGATATGATCATATGAGGCACGTACTCACACACATACCAAGACTTACCGCACACTACAAACTCAGTACAAAAAGAAACACATTCACGTACGCACGAGCATCCGCCAGAGAATACAGACAAAGACCAGCTCGCCGGTTTCTTTGGCTCTGTGCCCTCGCAGATAGCACCTTGAGGGCTTGCCTCCTGGGCTCGTTCGGGTAGTTCGTTTGCACCTCTCTACTCCCCTCTATGTCAAGTTCTTTAAAGTGGTGAGTGAGAGAATCCATCTGTTCCGTTCCGATCAAGGTGGAAGAGAACGCACGGTAATTTCTCCGCGAACTACGATCTGCATTGCCACCTCCTGGATGTGGCGAGTTGACACCCATCCAGGCTGATCCCAGCCATCATTGCTGAACCCTAACCTGGCTTTCATTTGTGTGAGCCCTTCTGTGAGCCGTCGATGGTATCAGCAGTTGGGAAGAGGAGAATCGAAGCACGTACCTTGGCGTTTGCGTACGTCCCTCTGGACTGAAATCTGCTCTTCAGGTAAAGAGGAACAAGTGCGGCGTGCCAATCATTGACGACGAAAACCACATCCTCTCCTGCAAGTGAAACCCGTCGAGAACGCCAGATCCCAATATTAAGAAAAACTGATATGTTGCTCTTTTACAGATGCATAAAAAACGAGAGGGAGAAAGAGCTCGAATAGCGATGGGAACTGGTGAGTAACTGTGGCCAATGAGTCAGGTAAGGGGAAAGTTACGTTATGTCCACCCCGCTACAAAACCTTTAACTCCATGCGAAATCCGGGGAGGTCAGGCGGCTAAGTATGATGGGACTTACCGTACGGGGAGGACATTCCCGTGCCCTCCGCCAAATGGAGGAGCAAGGGCGCCTGAAGTGCAGCCTGCAACAAGCAGCAAAAGCAGACAAAAGGTTAGCGCCCCTCCCGCATTTCCCACCCGAAGCAAGTGAGGCAAAAATAGAAGAGAGTAGCAAAAACGAAGGCTGTACCAATATCAACATCATCCACGACGTCCGCAAGCGCTTCCTTGAGCGTGAGGATAATGGTTCATGTTATTGAGACTCCCGCTTACAGGATACCAATTCGCACACCTCGGATAGCATGCACAGCAGTCGACTCAGAATGTGTGAGTGTCGGGGAAATGGGTTCTATGCCTCACTGCCCTGACTACGAAACATAGTTGCAGATCAGACAGAACGGGATGTGAGACGCATGCAAGAAAAGAGGCAGCCCTACCTGGCAGAAGATGGCGAACCGCAGAGGATTCTCAGGGTATTCAACCCCCACTTTCTCGCCGTAGATCTTTTGGCCTGTCTTGCCCCACACCTGCCATTCGGTCGACGGTCCCCGATTCCAACCGGATGGCATTCAGCGTTGTGCGGCGTCGATCGATACAACCCACAGGGCAAGCAAGCAAGGAATTCAAACTCGTAAGAATCAGGGCCGTGACAGTCATCGACTCTTTAATTTTTATGCAGATACTATAGACCTGAGACGCGTTCATATCGCTCTGACAAGTGCAATGAACATCCTATTTGTCTGCCGTTCTTTTTGGGATACTCGCCGCCTCGGTTTCGCGGGTCGTTTCTAACTGATTGAATGAAATAGTCAGTTCACTTGATGGATTGCACGGAAGAATGTTCGTGGCCACCTCAGTTTGAACACACAGCATCATCAAATGGCTGGAGCAGAAAGGTGCGTTGTAGGACGACTTCTTCTTGTCTTCTCGTCTGCAATTGGCGAAGCCATACGTGCTCTCTATTTTGGCACCCTTTGGCTACATCTTTGTTATTGAAACCCTTTGTCGCGTTGTTACGTCCCCGGGCAGATTGCACATACTGTTGGACTCACACCTCACGTCACATTCAAAAAAGGGTCAAAATTTGCCAGCCGCCACGCTCAGTGGGGAAATACCTCCAGATAACAGTTACGAGCCGTACGTGCTCTCCTTCTACTCCGCTGTTATGCACTACTCTTTTCTTCCCGTCGCGTGCAACTGCGTCCATGCAAGGCAGCCGTGCGTGGGCAACATATTTTAAAAATGTATTGAAAACAACAAGAAGCAAAAGGAACAACTCGATTCTTCAGAACACGGCTTCTCATCTTCGTCTGTAAGAGGAGCCGTACCATTTCGAGGAAAAGCGGATGATCGACGAACACCCGGTCCACTCCTCGATTGAGCGAATGGAAGAAGCGAACAGTCTCCAGCTCCCCTCCAAGGCTGACCTGTCCGACAAAATGACGGTAGTAAACATATTGAAAAGGACACACATCGGAGAGATCGTTAACCAAGCGAAACGCGGCAGTCAACTACAAAACATGATTCCTGGCACTTTCATTTCAAGCTCAACCTTCAAAATCCGGCTTTCGAGACGTTTTCTGTTACGTGCGCGAGGCGGACCTGCTAGCTACTCTCGGCCGAATAGCACGAAGTAAAAAAATGTGGAAGGGAACCAATGGCATCAGCAATATCACGACCAGAAAAGGCCTCGGTAACCCATGCCTTTGCGACACACACACACACACACACACACACACACACACACAGAGAGAGAGAGAGAGAGAGAGAGAGAGAGAGAGAGAGAGAGAGAGAGAGAGAGAGCTATGAATGTGATACTCGGCATAGGCCGTTGACAATACCACCGAAAAGGATATAAGGTTACCTGTGCAGTGACACTGGTGTCCCAAGCATCGTGGTACTGGTCGTACCGCGGAGATACCGTCATCACGCGATGTCCACGGGCCTACATCACAACATAACATAACACAAGCATTCATGAGCTTCCACAAACGGCAAATACTAAGTAGGCAAGCACGTGAACATTCCATCAAAGTGCTAAATATCTCTACTCAGGGCAGGTGGGAAGCTGAGAAAAAGGGTACGATGGCAGGAATATGTTTCAACGGGAAACCATCAGTGGAGGAAAGCAGGTCGATGGTTAAGGGAACTTACAGCTAGCGCCGGTGGAAGGGCGCCCATCACATCGCCCAGACCTCCGACCTTGGACCACGGTGCAGTCTCCGCCCCTACGAACACCAGCGTCATCTTTCGCTGTTCCACGGGCAGAGAAGAAGAGTCCGCTGCGAACTTTTCAGACACAGCAGTGTTCGCTCTTTCGGCACTTACAGCGCCAACAGCTCCATTACGATCTACAGCTCGCGGCCTGGCAAATACATCACGGGATCGACGTGGGGATGGGGATATGCTGCTACCAACAGTTCTTGGGAGCCGCCGCCCTTCCGAACGAGTCCCCTCCTCCTGGTGACGAAGGGCTGCACAGCCTGCGTTGTCGATAAACGCACTGGACCGAACAATGGCGATTGCAGGGGCAAGACGAGTTCTCCCTGACCCACTTATAGACTCCGACGCTCCACCGTCAGAGTGAGAGCGTGTTGAAACGGACACAGCTACAGCTCTAGATGGCCATGCAGTGCATGCCAAGGAATCCATGGCGATAATTTTGAAGACGGAGAAAAATCGAGGAGTGTTTCCTCGCTAAGGTAGTTGTCAGGAGTTCTAGGGGGTGGGGTACTGGCGCAGTCAGTACACAGACAGTTGAAGAGTCAAGCGATGAATCAGGACGCTCTACAATGCAGGCGCCCAATCTCGACCTACGCCCAGTGGTGCCTCACGCTCCGTCATGCACTCAGAACTAGGAGGATCTCTTTTGATGAGCTACTTCCGTGAGATCATTTTGCTCAATGTTGCAATTCGTGCCTGAGTACTAGTATTATGGTCCTCTATCACCTCGTTCGAAGGAGAGACTTCGCCGCCGTCCTGGCTGCGCCCCCACGCCCCGCGTGGTATCAGCATTATATTCCTCTAGCACCTCGTCCGAAGGAGAGACTTCCACGCAAGTCCGTGACGGTGCCCAAACTCGGACGCACGCGGTGGGCCCAGACTCGGACGCACGGGGTGGGCCCGACATATGACGGTTTGCATGTAGAGTTGCATGAGCGAGCTAAGCGTTTTAGCACGGAGCAAACGGCCAGATACCGCGGTTGCCGACCAGCTGCGGTGTCGGTTTCCCCGTATCAACGAACTCCGTTAGTCTTTGGTGCCGAGAAGCAATATGGGGGACAAGGTAGAAGAAGGGGAAGGGTGAGCTTTATTCAATAGGGGGCCGTTTGGGGCAACTAACGAGTAGGTTGGAAAGCCGCTGGCAAGCCCGACATTACCGCATTGTATGGCCCGGCTTGCCCGCACTGTATAACTTTTCTAGATGCCCCATGCACCGGCCATTCTGTCGGTCCTACCTCAGGGTATACCACTCCGGAACCCGTTTGGAAAATTTGTTGGAAGCTGTCAAAGATGGCGTGTTTGGTTTGATATGCTGCTGACTGATAGACCGCGCCAGGCGCGGTAGCGCAGCCAAGGGAACCCCGGGGTCGAGGCCAAAGAGGGAGCATGTTGGGGAGAACGTTGGGGAGAACATGAAACACGAAGGGGGCAAATATGGAACGCCTCCGAGCAGGGGAAATATGGGATGCCTGCAAGGCAGGAGCCTTGGGACTGTGACCAACTGCGCGGAATTTGGGAACCGGGACTGAGGAGCATGCCCCACCCGGGCAGCGGGGACTGAACCCACGACCGCCTGAATGCCACTTGCATGCGTAACCAGCTGAGCCAGACTGCTATGCCCACCGCTACCGGAGGGCAAACTGTGATCAAAATCATGTACCCATGAATTGTTSAATTGTTGACGTTCCCTACACGTTTCCGCGTGCCCATGCATCCGGACACCTTTAGCTACACCCGTACAGCGTACACAACGAATCCCTGACAGGTGACGAATACCAACACCTTTAGCCGCACCCGTAAGAATCACGCGACAGGTGACGAATACCACTCCCCCTACGAAAAACACAAACCATACGACGAAAACGAAAAGAACGGACTACCCCCTCGCATCCCCTCCCACCCTGCTATCTTGTCCACCCTTCCTCCCAAAGAGGAAACACTGGATGCGGACCGCAACAGCGCAAGCACGACCTTGTGACGCCCTAACCTCACGCCCGGCGCACCTTCCTGATCGGAGTGGGATGTGGGCCTGGAAGTGCGAAAAGGGGTGTGCCAAGGATTTTTGGAAAGTGGGGGTGGAGTCCCAGGTCAGAACTGAGATCTCCAGTGGCAAGGTTCAGGGGCATAGATGCAATAGAGCAATGGGAAAATTTACGGGCGAGGGCTTGCACGTTGGTTTTGCGGGGCCGTCCGATCCGGACGCGATCGCCAGTTCTGGAGAGCCTGTCGAGGCGGTCCTTGGAGCCCACGCCTTCGGAGCCCGCCACGTGGCGTGGGTTGGTGGGAACTATGCCTAGGTGCCGAGGCTTAGGGGGTTCAGGTATGGGCACGCCGCCTGCAGCTTCTGCACGGGGTGGAGGGCCAATAAGGTGCTATGGAATTCCACGGTACTACTGTAAGCTGATGATAGGGGAGGAGGAGGTGGTATGGTGGGAAATTAGTGGCGATAAGGACGAAGCCGGGGATTATAAAATATTGCGTGTTGTACGTGTTTGGGTAGTCGGGTCCCCGCGGGTCGCTTCGTACGGCGAGATGGAATTCCCTAGCGCAGAATCTATCGTTTTCTGTGAGGCAAGGGAACACCGAGTTCCTCAAACTTCCCCGTAACCGGAGTTGCTCTTCTTCCCAGATTTCTCAGTACCCGAAATACGACTCGTAATCCTCGGAACTCCAAGATACGTCGAAACTCCGCGAGCTCGTCATTCTTTCATCACTCACGCCTTGGGGGATAAGTTAATCAAGGAGATCACCGCTCGTAAGTGCGTAAGAGAGATGCGAA